CTCTGTCCCCCCCTCTCCTCTGTCTCCCCTCCCTCTCCTCTGTCTCCCCATATTGTCTTAGAAGCAGGGGTGACATTTAGACAAGGGGAAGAAAACACAGTGGCGACAAATATTGGAACGGAGGCAAATAAATCACCAGATAGGGCAGAAAGGAGGGCAAGAGGAGAGAGAGAGAGAGAGAGAGAGAGAGAGAGAGAGGGTGTGGGGGGGGGGGGGGGGGGGAGGGGGGGGGAGAGAGAGGGGGAGTTTGGGAAGAAGGAAAAGAAGAGGGAAAAACTGCTGACGCTCACATGATGACGGTTGATTCAAAAAATTAATTTAACAAATTTTCTACCTTTAAAGAATCCACTGGAAGTTGTGGAAGAATCTGGAGCAGCTGGAGATCATCACGGATCTGGGTTTGGACATTTGTGGTGAAAACACACACTGGTGTTTGTGAACATTCGTTAACGTCCGTAACTGTTTTAGTTCTCAAAAAAAAAAAGTTTTAACGATGGAAAATTACCTGCTTTATTTCATTTATTTCTTTCATTTTTTTATTTTTGTAAAATTGAAAATATCATAGAATATGAAGTTCGTATAAATATGTATTTATAAATATATACATATTTATATATTCAATTATTCCAAGTCTTTTCCAGGCGTCACAGTAACTCTATGATGTTGTCGTCGTTGTTGTTTCTTTCGTCTGTCTCCCATTAGTTGGACTTTTACTTTTTCAGGTTCATAAACTCAGCTTTCAGCTTGGTAAACTCAGCAGCGTGGACTTAATTTGAAGTCCAACTCCGGTGGGCCACACACACTGACTTAGCAGGCCACATTTGGTCCACGGGCCTTCAGTTGCTAGAATGAATGAGTTGCGTTCAATTTTTTTAATTTATTTTTTTAAATAAAACATTTTGTTCAAATTGAAGTTCTGTTTCTCTGATCTGATTCAGACGTCACGTCTGTTCCCTCTGAATATATTCTACCCTAAATTCAAGGTCTCTGTATTTACCTGAACCCTTTGACACCCGACTCACACCCCTGTCTCCCCCCTCCCTCCCTCAGGTTCCTCCCTGGACCCCTCTTGTCTTTTTTGTCCTCCTCATGTCGTATTCCTTCTTTGTGTCCCCTGTTTCTCCAAGTGACGTCTTCCGCTGTCTCCCCCAGCAACGCCATGGTGACGGGCCGGCCACTGTCATGTCCGGCGCCTCTGTTGTGCTCATCCCCTCACCTCTCTCTCGTAAATAACTTACCCTCTTTTTCTTATCTTTATCTTTCCACCATTTTGTAGACGTTCCACCCAGTGGCCGCGGCCCGGAACTGACGGACGGACGGAGCTGAAGAGACGCTCGTTAACGCTTCAACACGCTTCACATAAATATATAAATATATATATATATGTGGAGATGACTGACATTCTCTCAGTTATTGTGGGGGGGCTGAGGGGGGGGGGCTGCTCCATGTCGCCCGAGTGTATCTGGGCTTCATGATGGTCTCAAAGGTCACGATGAGACAGGGAGGACGATGACCAGTAACCTTATGATCTTGCTTCATTTTGTGGAGGCATA